GGTAAATGGAACTTTGAAACAATACCTAGTCTTAGGTCATAGGCTTGACAAATAGAGTTCCTATCTGATCGACAGAATCTGGCACCTTCGTTCACCAAATACATACCTCTGCCCACATCTTTAAGGAATAACAAGCGTGAAGTTATGATGATGAATTGTGTTCGAATAACAACCCCACATAATAAAGTTAAGGAGATATTTCGTAAGTTAATCGGATATGAACAAGTTTAAGAGGCCCGACATAAGCTATTAAAGATAAATTCCCAATTGATAAGTGCTCATACGAGCAATAACTTGGAAATTACTTCCTACGGTGAGTTTATTCTGAGTTTGGCTCAGTATATTGTGTGCCGAATTTGTGAATATTCGATCTTATAATAATGCGTACAGTTCAGTATATTGACTTGAATCGATTATAACAATAAATACAAGTAATCAAGTATTTATTGCACTGTCAAACATTATTGAGTTAAAATAATCTAACAGCACGAGGAAGAGACAGGAAAAAGACCAAAATATAATTATTGTGCCTGATTTTATGAAGAAAATGATAAACTACAGAAAATTATCTTTCATTTGGGCAATATGGACATCAGCATATGTAACATTCTTGTATCTTTTTTTTTTGATGACGGGCTAAATTTTCAAAGCGCCTAGTTTTTTGGAGATAAAAGACTCAGAAGTGTAGTATTTCTACCTCACTAAAACCACCCCGGTGGCCACCATCAACAACTGTAAGGGGCACTGGGTCTTCTAAAGGAGACCTACTCTGGAGCCCCTAACATTCGTGTATCTAACATATCAATACCTTTGTCTAACTTCTATAAAAGTTAATAAGTCCCAAAATATTTATACCCAGAAAAAAATATAAATATTCACCAGCATCAACTATAAATACTTCGAATGCCAATCGTGCGTCAAAGAACATCTTTTTTTAGATACACTTCGTAACTCCATTTTTTGCTTCACGTCTTTGGAAAGGACCCATCAATCATTATTGTGACGCATCGTCTTAGTGGATATGTAATGTCAATTTATGTCAGCAAAGTTAAGAGACTGATATCAAACTGAATTATTAAATACGAATGGGAATCAGTCGTGAAAATGAATTGAGAGAATTGTTGGGCCCTGCTCTTGCTTTTAGAATAAACTAAGCAAATCCAAAACAAATCACAAGCATGGTAATTAATGCTTGAACCTTCTCCGTATGATAAGAGACTTTGCTCAGCAGTGGGCACTTATTCGCTGTTGTTGAAGATGGTGAAGCAGGTCCACGACTAGTGTACCATCTGTATCCTATTCTTATCGTTTTGCATAAGTTATAAACAGTGTAACATTTAGTATATAGATGAAATTAATTTTATTCTAAAACAAACTTGGATAGCTACAATCAAAATTATGTGAATATTTTAGAATGTACCGTAATTGGTACCGTCAGCTTAATGGTTTCATTTTCGTATCTGCATTTTTACGATCGCTACTACGTTTTGCTGAGGCAAACAATTTTCATATTTTAGTTGCTAAAATAACATAGTATTTTAGCTTTATTTTGTACAGCTAAAATATTCAATCATTAACTTTCGAATTTTATGTGTTTCAGTGTTAAAATTACGTAGGTATGAAAATCATGACTTTCATCTAAGAAGTTTACCATTTATAAAAGTTAGGAACATAATTCATATTGAGTGCTTACTTTTTCTATTTCGCTTCAGTTTTTGTTCATGATTTATTAATAAAGTTAAATTAATATGATTACAATGATTACAATGAGTGTTGTCTTTTTACTAACATGATGGTAACAATTTGAATGCTTCTCTTAGCGACGTATTAGCGACACGATTGAACCTACTAAAGAGATTTTAAATGATCAACTGAACACATACAACGAATTTAATGACAAAGAAATACAGAAACAAATACTGTGTTAACAATACCATTTCATTCACTTTATTCCATGCCTTATTCGGTCCAACGGCATTATTCTTGACTAATGTTAATGGTGAAGCAACAAAAGACGAGCATTTGTCACTGAAACACGTCCCGTCAGTAGCCAGCCAACGTTAGTCTGCGGCGTATATCCTTTGCCGTTTCCATCCGATTTCCCGCATTAGTAAGTTGGACGATTTGGGTCCAATGTTATTTATCAACCGACCACGATGATTCGTTTCACGATTAAAAAGACCCGACGCTTTGTCAGTTTGATAGGTTTTGCTCGACTATATTATTTTAAACTTCTATGTATGGATAAAGGGTCCTCAATTTATTTTCTGGTTTGATCCTTGAAAAATCTGCGATTTTCTGACTTCGATACTATTGTTTGTAATGTAGTATTTTATGAGAATGAGAAGCTTTCTGTGTTGTGTTTCATAGTTTAGCTGAGCAGAGATTCTTCGTCTTATTATGAAAACGAAGAATAGAGTAGTAACTTTATAGTTCTTATTTCCAAGAACGTTCAATGTTATTGTCGATGATGATTGATTGTTGATAATTATTACTCTTTTATTACTAAGTATTATTTATTCCTTTGAATAAAGAAACAATAAATAAATTTCACTAACATTAATTATTACACAAATCAGTGAGATAAACGTTTTGGCTAGGCTTAGTGTCATTTTATTAAAAATGTATTAAATCCTTCGGAAACTGGTTTTTGGCTCGTAGCCAGCATAATGGTGGCAGGCAAGAAATGAAATAAGTTGGGAGCATTCTCCAGCACTTGTAACGTGAGCTGCATCTAAGCTATCAAATGTGGCGGATTGGTAAACTGACAGTTGTTTCTTTATTTGATATATTTCTTTTTATTATTGAACAGTAAGCGACTAGAAAAAGAAAAATATCTCGTTTTTGAAGCGAAGTGTCACTACCACCTGCATTCTATATACCTATGCAGTTTTGTTAAAAGTCGATTATTTGATTTGTTTAGAATTCCACTCTTTCTTACCTTAGCAAACCTCATCGTATTTACACACACAGTACCTACAATAAAATCTGCTGCTGATAACAACTTTAACCTTCTAACAATAAGACTGGTTTTTGCAGTTCAAGTGTAACCAACATGCGGTTGACCATACATTTCCTTTTCTTACATATTTCTCTGCTTAATCGTGTGTCCGAAATCACATTGAAGTTATGAAATAGCGTAAGGAAGGGAATCGGAGTGGAAATATATATCGCTAGTCTAATTTGAATAGGGAGGGTCGGGACCTCTCTCACTTGACTGAGGGTCGACAATGACACATAAATTACTACTTTATATGTCCGGCCACTCTGTATCTACGTTCAGCGATGCCAAAAAGCTTTAAAAATATCTAGGTAAGTGAAATTTTACGAAAAGGGATGATATAATTTTTTGTTTTGATCATCATACTCATATCATCATGCCTTTTATCTCCGAAAAGATAGACAGAGGTGCACATTACGGCACTTAATGCAACTGTACAGTTAACACCCACTTTTCACTATTTATGTTATGAGTCCCATGTATAATAGGTGGTGAGCCTTTTGCCATATACCGCGCACTGTTCCAGACTCCATGCTATTACTGAGATTTTTTCTAAGCCAGCCAGCCCAGCCTAGTGTAACTGGTAAAAAAAATAACCTGGAAATCGAACCCGAGATCCCTTGCCAGGCAATCGCACTTGCGACCACTCGGCCAACGAGGCAGTCTTGTTTTGATAAAGCTTTATTTGAGATTTTTGGAATTGTTTGCCAGAATGTTAAAAAAAATTATTAAATGTGATTCTTTCATAATTTTATACACATAAATAATGGAAATCTGAGCAATGTTCCATATTTAAAGCGATTCAAGCCTAGAATTTTCTAAGAGCTCTGTTTTTTTGTTTGTATTATGTACCTATTTTTAAATCAATTGTGTTACATTACAAGATAAAACAATAACTTAGATATTTTTAATAGCTTCAACAATAATATACTTACTTACAATATTCAAACTATCAACGAATTCAATTTCAAATATCTGTCTATACAAATCTAATAATCCTTACATAAATCGGTCTCCGTACTCTAGGATCTCACTCGAAATTTCAAACATTGCTGCTAAATTTAGACGAGGAACGATCCTGGTATAATCGCTTAGTGCTACATCGTTTTCCAATTGATTTAGGAGCCACGCAGTTATCGGTAAATGTGTATAAGCTTGCAGAGCTTGCTTTCGAAATTTCACTATTCTGCATTTCGTGATATGTCTGTAAACGCTCATGTTGGACTTGGATGTGAAGTGCGTGATTGAAAGTTTAAGTATTCAAATGGTATTTTCTGGTCTACATACAGAAACAAATTGTTACAGAAAAACCGAAGGAAATATTTCATAAAATAATTAACTTTTAAAAAAAAATTAAAACAGACTTCAAATGCGAGAACACAAAAAAAAAAAAAAAAAAAAAAAATAATTCCTAATACCTATTACCTAATACTATAAAAAAAAAAAACTATATCAAAGTAATTAAAGTTAAACCATCTAAATATCTTAAAATAGTTATACTTATATACCTACCTATTGTTTTTTGGAGTCGGTGCCAGTAATAAATGAATATTAAACCTAATGAAATAATTTCCACCCTTGGGGGTTGTTATTTTTATTAGTAAATTTAAATGGGACCAACCTTGAGGTATTACCTATACGCCGAAAAAAGAATTTTTCAAATCGGTTCATAATTGGCGGAGTAATCGCGTAACAAATATAGAAAAAAAAAAAAACATACGGGTCGAATTGAGAACCTCCTCCTTTTTTTGAAGTCGGTTGAAAAGAGAACAAAACAAAATCCTTAGTGATATTCTAGATATTGGAATTATTCTAAAGTACATTTACTTTATGTTAGTTTTCTATCCCATTTTAATAACTATTAGTAATATTTTTAAGCCAAATTCCTTCCTAATATATCTTTGAATCCTAGAATATTATGTACACAATAAATAGATAGTACACCAAATTTAATTATTTACATTGCTATTCTTATAAAACAAACGATTTTTGTCCCCAGTTATAAAGAGCAATATGCGGCATCAGACAACACTGCCGATCACCAAAGTGGGTCCCACCGCGTCCCTGAGGGATGCTGAGCCAGACTTCATTGGACCTATAGAGAACGTCACCGTTGCTCTTGGGAGAGAAGCTGTGCTTACTTGTTCTGTGTCAGACCTTGGAGATTATAAGGTAAGATGAACCCAAATATTTTTAAAATTAAATAGCTATTTATTATAGTGTTTGTAATGTCATAAACATAATGATAAGTTATTATCGTATGCTGGAGTTGTAAAATTGATACCCTCGATGATGTGTTCAAGAGTACTCTTGAGTACATCATCTATACTATTTTGAGTACTATTTACAGTATTTATTTTCAGCATATTATCATAAATAATATCGTAATGGAATTATAACATTAACTATGTCATAAATATAATCATCAGACAAATTACTTTAGTAAAGTCTTTGTGTTAAAAGACATTTTCTAATGCATTGTCATTAAATACCTGTTCTAACAAGTTCACACAGAACTAACGTAAGCAAATTAACAATAACTCTTAAACCTAATACGAATCAAGCCAATATAAAACATGTTCTGTTCTATTAAACTGACGATATTATGATACAGTAATAACCCTCTTCATTACAAACAGTATTATATATAAGAAAGTATGGGAAAATTATGTCAATTAGCCGTCAAGACTCAATGAACGGTAAAATACTCTTTTATAACCAGTCAAGCAATGTTATTTCAAGATAAGGCTAATGGCTCTGACCTACATCGAAGAAGAATTTGCAAAAACAAAGGAAAAATTGCCCTAATCACTAAATATAAAAATGAATTTCATAATCCATGAAAAAATAAATGAGAAAATAATTTCCATCAAACAAAATTAGGTCAAATGCAGATTAGTTGTTCATACAGTTTAAAATCAATACAGCAATAATGACATTCGTTTATGAAAAATATATAAGTTCCTCTAAACAATTCCCAGAGCTAGCCTAGAACTTAATCGTTTCAGCAACTCACTAATAACTATACCTGAATTACTTAAACCAGTCTTACCAAATCCGTTTTTTCTTTTCCATAATCACGCCGGCTAAACTCGGGGCAGTTAATCTCAGTGTAAGACCTACTTCAAATAAACATCTTCGCTCCTAAATCCAACAATCTGAAGTCTAGATTATAATGTAAGCCACTTCAGAGTCATAAAATAAACATCAACAAAATTCCTTCTTGAAAACGGACAATAAAATTTGATCTTCCTCGTCCTATATTCGCTCGTTGAGAAATAAGAGATTTCGCACAAAAAACATATAAAATATGTTTTCTGTGCAAAATCTCTGTTGGCGATATCTTTATTTTCCACTTTCTATCGTTTAAGCGAATAACCTAAATATTTTTTGCGTTATAAATCTCCCGAATTTATTATGAGGAGGATAAAACTAATCTCAAAATCAACAATATTGGTTTCATATAATTCCTTATATTAGCTGAGACCTCTTTATAAATCCAAAAAGTAAATAAATAAATATATCAAACATCGGTTCATCTTTTGTAGAAAAAGGTGAAACTTCAACTATTGATACGACGACTCGTAAAAGGACCGATTTTTGGTTAGCAACTAAATTACAACTAGTTTGGACGACTTTTCTGGACCTAATTTTGTAATTACCCTGCTTACCAATTAGTATGAAAACTGGTATCAAATAAACCACTAAGTAATTCAACACGAAATTGCTAGAAGATGATGAAAAAGGTTCTCAGATACCTTTGAAGGGCTTACTAAAGTTTGTCTTTCTCAAGAGCGTGCTTCATCCACATTATCAGGTCCCACTTAGTAATCAGAGCTTAACACAGTCAACTTTAAGGTCACTCCGATTATACTTAAGAGGTTTATACCAAACTTACTCTCTTAAAACTTTAATGAAATATGTTCACTTGAAATTTAAACGATGGCGGTAGTTTCTTAGCTTGCAAAATTAAACCCAACTATGCAAAATATTACTGTTTCGAAAATATTAAGAAAACTCTCCGTTGCACGGCTGTGGGCGAAAATATATTATTTCTCTTCATTTTATAAATAAGTTATGATGTGTAAGTCAAAACCCGGGAATATGAATGGCCAATCTCGGTTTGTTGAAAAGGAAATTAATGATGTTTCAATCCAAAACACTTAGAAACATTTATCTGTCTGAGTTCACCATTCATGATGTGTTTTTGCGGCGCAGTAGTGGTTCGTAAATAACCCTCGTTTATCGAAGATCCATTTAGTGTCCTCGCTCATGAAAAACGAGCTCTATTCCTTTTAGCAGCAATCGATCAATTGCAATGTCATTTAAACAGAAGCGTACTACCCTACGTTTGATCCTGACTGGTTGGTCGGGCCACAATATTTTTTTTTATATGAACTCTAATGGCTTCGCTGTACATTTCATGCCTACTTTGCCCAATATTTGTTTTACTTTGATGTAAAAAAATGTTTACGTAATTTTTTTTCGATAATTTCCTCAATAAACATATTTTTGTTTATTAGATTTTTTTTTTAAAATATAAATATTGTACGAAGATGCAATATTTTTTTACGTATTTTGTTTAAGGTAAGGAAACATTTTAGCATGAAGGAAATGCCATATCGTATATGATGACGGAGCCATCACACTGTAAAACCAAAACACCTGACCTGTTGTTGGGTACGAAATGTTCAAAATGGAAGGGCAACTTATATTGGAAATTCTTATAAATGTTTCATCGTTTGAACGTCAATGTTGCTGCTATTTTTTAATCTTACTTAGTGATCGTGTACTATCCGTATGACGTCACGTTTCCCCCTGATGTCATGTACGATGTTTCTGAACCATTCATCCAGATCATTGGTTTGTATGAATCTGAAATGAGGAAGGAAATATTTAAGTAAATATATAAGGGTGTATATATTTTCTATTTACTGTAATATGTTGTGAATAAATTGAATTAAGTCTCTTATATTGATTTAGACTCGCTAACAAGGAAGTTAAGCATGGTATTTCCTGGTTTCGCGTCTCGGAAATAATGTATACCAAGTAAATGTAATTTAAGTACTGAGAAGGGAATCAGTGCCGACCCTAAACCTAATTAGGAAAGAAGAAGTACTGAAAGTGACTATATCTATGACATCGTTGGAAGTCGTTATGTGTTATACTATATATGTACATTACAATGTGTATCTTAGTTCTAGATTTACATAAATGATCAATTTTATTCCTAGTCCACAATAAAATTCATCTATCACAATGCAAATATAATTAAATAATGAATCTTTTATTAGCAGCATAAAGCTCATAACACACTTAACAATAACGGCTCAGGCACGGCTCCGGCACGGCTTTTTTGCTTTGGAAACAATACAAAAAGGTGGTAAGCTCGTTGTCGGCGCGCTGACGGCGCGCGAGCGGAACGCAGGTGGTTCACTTACAGCTTTTTTATATTAACGTTATGAAATATATCATGTGACATAAGATGTAATGTTCTTTAACTCGTCGAGTACCATCATTATAGACACAATTATAGAACAATATGTTGCGGTCACCGCTGACCGCTTGGTGTTTGACAGTTTAAATGACAAGTTAATTGCTGGGTTGATGTCGTGCCGGAGCCGGAGTCTCATAATTATGTTTATATGACAATGTTGTACTATCTGATCATACATATCGATTTTATGCACAGGTGCACTATCTTTGTGACAAAGCTTTCATTCCTCATCACCTACCCTAACTTCCCACCTCCATTCCTTTCTTGTTATCATTACATTTTACGGACGCAATAGAACTGAATGACGGCCGTTTAATTTCCGAGGAACCTTGCAACTTTAGCAGGCCTTAGTAATAACTGTAAGTAAAACGGTAATTGTAAATCAGGCAGGGATGTATACTCGTAAATGAGAGTGCAAATTTTGTCGTCTGCTCCAATTTGTTCCCAATCCCGTGCCCGGGATCTCGCTGGTCCCGTGCCCAGCCAACCGTCAAATTCATTTGCATTTCACCGAAGCGTTATCTCATTACGATTTGTACATTCCTTCAACTCTTGGACTGTGTAATAATTCATGCCTTTCGTAAAACATTGTGTGTTTATAAAATTGATGTGATGGCTTCAATATTTATTTGTGGAATTTATTACCTACCGGTCCTTCACGGTTGTTGAGGTTTTAAAGCTTTTGTTATTAAATGAGCCGTTTTATCCTGTCATTTATGATTACGATGTCCAATTCAAATTTTAGGAAATATTCCTGCGAGATGTAATTTCTGTTTCGTACGGTTACTTGATGTGAAATTTGAAGCGGAGAATTCGTCGAATTGTTTGTGAAATCAGATCAGTTGGTGAATTAACTTAAGTGGCTTTTTTAAATACAAAAGTCTAGAGATTTTTGTTTGAATCCTTTATTAAGTCTAGCAGGCTGACGGCTTAGATGTCTGGAGTATTTTCGACGCATTTTTTCTTACTTTTGTTTTCATTCGAGACTTTGAAGTGACAGCTTCCATTTCGAGGTTTCGTATATTTGATTTTTTTTTATTATTCTCTGCCCGTGTAGATATTGACGTTTTGTTTATATCCGCCCAAACTAAAAACCATCTCAATCCAAAATCTATCGATTAAAATCAATTTTGTGACATTAATTGTATGGTGTTATCAAAAATCGATTGAAGAAGTTTACTAATTTCCGCTGTTTTTCGGTAACTACACATGTTATTGTATAGAAGACATTCATAGTATAAAAGTCCAATTCTTTCAAACAAACAGCACTATTGTTAACTAAAGCATTCACATGAAAACTAGGTGCAGTAAGTGTAGTAAGTCGCATATTCATGGTTCAAGTATCATACACTATCTGTTGCTTGTTCTCGAAGCCAGCTAACTGTGCACGGTACATGTTTAGAATTCATTACTAGCATTGTTTACTATTGTTGTGTTTTTGGGTGGAGTGGAGGGTTTCTTCCTTGTCGATCTCTTTGGTTGTTTTAATGATAGTGATTTGCGTTAAACAGTTAGGTACCGAAAAATTTATAAAAAGGTTGAAAACATTACCATAGCGTAACAATCAACTCGAATTAAGTCATACACTGATATGTAATATTTTTAAAACAAACTGATTTAATGAAGCGTGGTTCCAAATGGAATATTTTTTATGGAATATGGCAAACGAGTAGAC